TTGTTAGTTGGTAGAAAAAGGATATACAATATCTTTTGAGGGTAAGTATTGCTTCATCAATGATGGTGCTGGAAAAGAAGTTTTAAACCTTAAGATTAGAGGTAAATATTTTTTCATTTGATCCAATGGAAGATGTTTCTGTAGAACATGAAAAAGATCATAAGCTGAAAAAATTAGAAGACGCTCATTCAATTATAAAAGCACAAGCAAAATGTGAACCTATTAGGTTTAAAGGAACTTTCAATGTTCCTAAATGAATTGAAGGAATGGAGGAGTTATCTATGTTTCAGAAAAATAAAATGGATAAGTTTAAATTTGAGATGCAAATGAAGCAAGAAGATATGCCAAAAAGATTTAGTACTCAAGAGTTGCATTCAAAACAAGAAGTGAATTTAGTTCATTACAAGCCAAAGATGAATTTGCAGATTTATTCACAAGGTCGCTTTTGATTATCAAGTGTGGAGATCCCAAGATAGAAGACCAAAATTTTACAATTCCTAAAGCAAAGAGTGTTGAATATTTATTTTAGAATTGTAAAGTTTTTACTACAATAGTTTTATTAAAATAGACCTAGTCAGCTAATTAGCTCTTTAATTAAGAGTTGAATTCTATTTTAATTTTGGATAAATAGTATTTTATAGACTTTAGGAGTTTAGTATTTTCAATAGATCTTTTTATTTAATTTTAGATTTAAAAGTTTTTAGTTTTATTATAAATTGTGTTTTAGACTGCAGTGAAAAATATTAATCTTTCAATGTTAATTTATGGAAAAATCACACCATATACACATTTAAGAGATAATATTACGAGTTTTAAATCTACTCTTAAAAAATTCTTACTTATAACAGTTTAATTACGGGTTATAACATATCAATTAAATTTAACTTTATTTAAAAATCAATTAAAATTTATTTTATAAAATGATTAATCTTTTTATATTTTTATATTATTAATTATTTAATTATATTGATTGCAGTTCCTTTTATATAATTAATAGGTGAGAGAAATAATATTAATGAAAGAGAATCAATTTGTAATTATCTATTACACCTTTTAAGGGATTTTTTAACTTATTCAAATAACTTTTATTTATTAATGACT